TATATTTTTTAGTCTCAAATAGGCCCTTGAAAACTTCCCAGGCCCTGGGCACTGAGCCTCTAGTGCTTAATGGATAAAACAGCCCTGAGACTGTGGCAGTTGGGAAAATTCATGATGAATTACTAGGATCAAAATACACAGTCAAAGGAACCTCTTCCCCAGGCTTCCCTGAATGAGGCTGGCCAGCTGCAGGGCCAGTACCTACTTGAGGAAAAGCATGTCTGCAACTTAATTGGATTCAGAGCTTGCAAAGTCTCTGGTCAGTCATCTTGGTCAGGAGGAAATGTTTAGGCCAGCCCTGGGCTCCTGCTGCCATCCCCACTCTCTCACTTCAAAGCTTTACAGCTTGGGGTCTGCCTCTGTTAATGAATAATCACTTGGCAATCCTTCCATCCCAATGGGAGAAGCTCAGATGAGGGCCTCAAGAGAGAAATGATTTCCTGGGGAAAAAAAAAAAAGATTTGTTCCCTGTTGTCCAAGTTAACTGCTTGCAGGGTAATATTTTCCTGGGTTCAAAAAGCAATGTTTTGTTTGCTTTGTGGGGAGGAGAGCATGAAGGGATCCCCAGTGCAGAAAGGGTGCATTCTGTTGGTGAATAAGGCTCCACCTTAGGGCAGAGGGACAAATATCTCAGAAATTTTACTTTCAGAAACGCAGAAACTAGGAGCATCAGTGATTTTTGCCACTTTGGAGAGCACTTTATCTCAAAGGCAGAGAAGTCACACAAATCCCAGAGGTTAGATGCTGGGTAGGGTCCAACACACCAACACAGACCTCAGAAACTGCAGTTCAGAGCAAGTTCCCCCAACTGCAGTCATTTGCTTTATTACTTTACAATTTTTGCAATATCTTCTTACCACCAGTATTATAATTTGCAAAATATATATTTACTCATTTAGTTGAAATAATTATTTGAAAATGAAATTGTGTAATGCCATGTTTCAAAGAATACTAGCATTAATAAATAGAATTTAAAAATAAATACAATGAATGTCATCCAGTTTTTAAAAATTGTATCTAGATATTGTTTTCAGCTGAAGACTCAGCCTGAGGCCTGTTATCTCTATTGAAAAGGAGGAGAAACAAACATTAGAGAGAATAAAAGAATTTACCTTCTTGCTCTAAGAAGAGACTTTCTCCTAAATGTTATCAGAACGGTTAGAAGAGAATTACTTAAGGCGATGTTCACGTACCACCTAAACGACAAACAGAGACACACTCACTATCCTCTGCGTCTGTGGGAAACTTTTCTGCTTCCCTTCTCAGGTTGGCAGGAGCCAAAAGGGATGGGTTGAAAGTCAGGAAGCTCTTAGCCCCAGCTCTGCCTCTCATTCAGTAGCCTTGGATAGGGCACTTGCCTTTCAGGGACTTGAGCTCCTTCATCTGTAAAATGAGGGCGTCAACAGAGATGATCTCTGAGGTCTCTTCCAGCTCTGACCCTCTATCATTCCAAGACCCTCTCCTGCAGGGCAAAATGTCAGGCTCTGTGGAAAGAATCCAACTCCCCACGCTGCTTTGCCAATTGGAGCAGTGATTCCCTTACTCAGAGCAACTGTTTTTCGTAACTTCAGTGAGAAACTGGACCATAGAATGTAGGGGAATTAGTTTGACTCCACAACTTGAATGTCAACTCTTTCAGGAACAGCTAAGCTGGGCTAGGCGAGTGGGGTATAGACCCTTGGCATATTTTTCTTCAAAGTTCAGTTTCTCTTTTGGTGAGACCACCTCAGAGTTTCCAAAAGACATGAGTGTGTGGAAAGAATAGCAGTTTTGAAAGCTGAGAGGCCTTGACTAAAAACGGGGCATTTCCCTTGGCTTTCCTGAGTCTCACTTTGTTCACATATATAATCATATTCACCCCCATAACTACTGGGAAAGATAAACAATATAAGTATTTATCAGAGGCATAGAAAGGCACAGTATTTGCTGGGACTGAACAATAGACTGCCAGTGGTGTTCTTAAATATCTTGGACTGCAGATTGCCCTTAACAACTGACTGGGCATGAAATTCTTAGAAGGACTAGGGCTCCCCCATGATGACCTATTCACCCACCTAACCTTCCTCTCTGTTCCACAGTCCCCTTTAGGAGAGATGGTATCAGCCAAGATGGAATTGCAGTCCCTGCTGCTGCTCCTGCTGCTAGGGCTGTGGGTGGCCAACATCCCAGTCAGTGCCAAGCCCAGACACATGACTTCATCTCAGTGGTTTAAAACTCAGCATGTGCAGCCCAGCCCTCAAGCATGCAACTCAGCAATGCGCAACATCAACAAGTACACAAAACATTGCAAAAACCTCAACACCTTCCTGCATGATTCCTTCTCCAGTGTGGTGGCCACCTGCCAGACCCCCAATATAGCCTGCAAGAATGGCCATGGAAACTGCCACCAGAGCCAAGAGCCTGTGTCCCTAACCAGCTGTGAGCATACTTCAGGGAGGTACCCAGACTGCAGGTACAAAGAGAAACAACGGGATGCATTCTTCATTGTGGCCTGTGACCCCCCACAACAGGAGGATGACCTGGGGTACCTACTGGTTCCCGTGCACTTGGATAATGTTGTCTAAGGCTTGGTGCTCATCCCACCTCACCCTCAAGCTCTGTAGACTCTATGTTGCTGCTGCATTTCCGCCCTTGGGTTATGTATTAATCCTTACTCACTTTGCAAATGCCATTTCCCTCCCACACGTCCAACCTCACATACTCTTGATTCCTTAGGGGGGTTTATGGATGCTCCAAATAATGAGGGAAGAGGGGACATTCTCTTTAGCCTGTCAGTGCTGCTTACTTTGCATTCTCAATGTCTGATACTGTGTGCCCCTTCCAGAGTCAAGCACTCAGGATCTCAGCAGGGATGGATCCAGGTATTTTGGGCCTTATGGCTTATATAATTTTGAAGACCCTTTTAAAGAAAAAGAATAAAAAATTATAATACAAATGCAAAGAAAGTCAGGGACTTGGAAGAACTGTGACTGGACAGTTCAGAGCAATCCCAGGCCGGGGCGATTATCTAAGACGAGAGGGCAGGAGAATCTATGCGGGGTTCCCTGTATTGGGTAAAGGAATGTGCCTGATTTTGCTGTAATAAAAGACTCTGCTGTTCCTGACAGAGTGTGTGATCCTGTCTGGGGGTAACTAGGGAAATCTGGAGCTCCCATTCAGAGGCCCGGAAGTACCTTCTGATCCCTGTCAGTCATCAGCTTCACCTGCTCTGCAGGCTAGAGGGAGGGCAGCACCCTGAACAGGTGCAGTCTTGGAAGCTGGGCCTTGATCCGGTCATCCACCCCTGGGGAGGGCTGTCTGGTGGTCCCATCTCACACGAAGGGAGAAAGAAGAGGAAGAGCAGGCTGAGCCCCAGGATGCCAGTCAGACCTGAGTCCTGACCTCCTCGCTTCCACTCAAGACCCAAGTTCACACTTCATCGACAGGACCCAGAGCAGGAGCCTCTGCCTTCTGAAGCAAATCTCCCTCCCTTGGGAATTTCTGAATCAGGACCTACCTTACCAAGAATCTTGATCTGGTCTTAATCAGTGCTTCTCTAACCAACTGTGGTGAAGGAGCAGTTTTACATGCAATCTGCCATAGACCAATACTTTCATAAAATACAACAAGATGAGGCCAGGCTCAGTGGCTCATGCCTGTAATCCTAGCACTCTGGGAGGCCGAGGTGCTAGGATTGCTTGAGCTCAGGAGTTTGAGACCAACCAGCTTGAGCAAGAGTGAGATCCCGTCTCTATTAAAAATAGAAAAAATTAGCCAGGTATGGTGGCGCATGCCTTTAGTCCCAGCTACTTAGGAGGCTGAGGCAGGAGGATCGCTTGAGCCCAGGAGTTTGAGGTTGCTGTGAGCTAGGCTGATGCCACGGTACTCTAGCCCAGGCAACGGAGTGAGCCTTTGTTTCAAAAAAAAAAAAAAAATACAATACAATAAGAAGAATTACTAGATAATGAAATAGAACATATAGATATAGAAAACACAAGCTCAATTTTTTTATTACTAAATTCAGTTAACATAAAATCACTCTGTCAAAGTGCCATAAAGTTTCTTAATGCTTCCTCTCAATTTTGGTAGTTATCTTGATAGATATTCACACAGAGAAAAATATACACATATTATATACATATATACACATACATACTAACATAAGACATACATACATACACACCCATGTTCATACACATACACAGGGATACATACCTACACATGTGCACCTGTGTGCACAACACACACACATACACATATACTCACGCTCGACAATAAGACACTCCCTCTCCTTCCCTCTACCATCTCTGCTTCCTCCTCACACCTCCCATCCCATATTTGGACAGAGATTTCACCACACGAATTAAGATTCAGAATAAGGAAAGGATGTTTGGTGAAACATGAAGTGGCAGGGAAAACAGAGAATCCAGAAATTCCAACTCCCAGCCCTCCTTCATGCCTTCTAAAACCAGAGCTCATCGCAGCCTACCACGCCCACACCATCCCACACCAAGTGGAGTTTCCCCCGCAGCACCCAGGGCTCTCCACACCATGCTCTGCCCATCACTACTGCTATGTTTTCCACCCTTTTGCTTATGACCAGAAAAGACATACTGGAAGTGAGAGAGAAACAACATTCTTCTACCCTTCTGGCTTCTTCCCAGTGTCGTGGGCAGACTCCACTTCCTGTGGTTGCACCTTAAATGATAGTGTTTCTCAGGGTCCTATTCTGAGCTCTGTTTTCATCTCTTGAGTGACTTGATACACTTCCATGGTTCCAACCACCACTTACCTGCTCCCAAAGGCATACCTCCAACCCACAGCTCCCAAGGTCCAGGCATACATGTCCCTCCCCTACTGTTGCTAGCCCCCTCTGTGTCTCACAGGCATTTCAGTGAAAAACACTCAGAACTAAGCTCATGATCTGCCTGGCTTCCAGACTTGCCCCTCCTCCTGCAATCTCTCAGTCTTAGTTAATGGAAACTTCATACCCAATCATTCAAGGTCCTAGTCTAAGAGGTATCTGTGTCAACTCGTGCTTGTTTATTTCTCCAGTAATTACCCACCTTATCCCAGTACTGCCTCAAGAGGGCACAAAAGTTCTTGGATTTTCTTTTATCTTTTTTTTTTTCCAAATAGCACTGGGTTCCTAACATACATTATGGCCTTGGAGGGAGCTGTAATTTGGAGCTAGGCAAGTACACCTAGGTTGGTGCAATCATGGATTCACAACTTGTTTAGGAGGCAAGATTAAATAATACATATAGAACTGTCAAGCAATAAGACAGAAGTGAAGAATACATCAAATATATTCTGTAACATTTTTCTCCCACCTCCCCTAGGGTTTTGTTCACCCTGACCTAAAGTTCATCCTCTGTTTACTGTTAATCTTCATGTTGCATATCTCTTTCTGGCCTGATATCAGGTTTTAATTAGAGTCAGGTAACACCAGGAGAAATTCAACCATTCAATATTTGTAAGAGTTGTGACCCCAGAAGCTGGGAAGAATGTAGAAAGAATACAGAGTAGAATGAATCCTTAAGTAGGCTAATTATATCCAAACAAGTGGTGTAGCAACCCAGGTAGGAGTTTCTGGCTTCCGTGTGTAGGCTGAAGAATTAGATGGAGTGTAACTTGAACCTAAGGGTCATGGCTGTAAAACTGGCCAATTCAGAGAGTAATGACATAGCAGCCATAAAACAGGGCTCAGAGGGGCAGCCAGGGCCAGAGAACAGCTGCCCAAAAGGCTGGGACAAAATCTCTAATAGGTATGCTCTCTGGGCCACTGAGAACGTGTTCCAAAAAAGTAACCTGGGAAGAGGCTCCCCAGCCATTTGGGACATAATTCTTTCCTGGTGGGTAAGTATATTTTAATGTCCAGAAATTTTATAATTAAGGATAGAAATATTTAAAAGTTCAAAAACACAGATAGCATTAATATGTTTAAGGAATCTGTATTACTCTTGTAATTCTAATTTAAGATGTACACGATTTGAAATGGAACTCTCCTTTAAAGTTAGTTTTAGAACATTTAAGAAAACATAGGAATTAAATCATCCTATTTATGAATTGTTAGATTTATAAGGGTTTTTAGGTATTA